GCGGTGATGGTACAAAGCTCTTTCCCTAAAGCTAGGCTTAAAACCTTAGAGAAAAGTAGGTTTTAGACTCTGCTTTCCTCAGTCCCTAAAGCCAGTTAGCAATATAACTGTAATAATGCTGTATAGTGTCTTTCCTTTCTGCCCTATCCTTTCTGTCCACATTATTCAGGTTTTTGCTACCTCTTGCCCACTACAATAAATTCTAAACTAGTCTTTTCAAATTTTGACTTTTTTTGTGTGTAACGTAAGTTTGTCCAATTTACTCCTCTACTCATAACTGCTCAACAACTCCCTCCTCTATAATAAGTGTATTATAGGTTCATCATGGCATTCATAATTCAACAAGGTCTTACCGCAAACTATGTTTGGAGTGCACCTTTCTGGTCGCTTCAATTAAGTCTCTCTTCAAACCAAAATTGAACTACCTGCTGTTGCCTAAACATTTCATGAGCCTGTTCTCTTCCTCTAGCTGGAATGTCTTACATCCTTCCAGTGTATGTTCACTGGCACTTACTGCATATTTGCAAATTGTCATTGCATGGATTAATTTAGCTTAATTATTGATGATTAATAGATGAGTGTTTTAAATGTCTGCCTGAAGCGATATAACAGTTGAACTTTTACTCATAACCTTTTTTTCCTAAGGGGATACAGCTATTTAAAACTTTTTTGAATAAGGAAAGATATTTTCCTTATTCATTCCCTAGTAATCAGAAAACTTGTTTGTTGAAGTTAATTATTTTTGTTAGGGAATATTCAGGCAAGGAGTATGACCTATACCGAGTGTATGAGTTGGGGGCACGATTATATAACTGCTAGCCAAACCTTGATTTTAGGACAGGGTCAAATTGGGAAGAAGCAAACAACCATAATTCAGACACATGCCCCATAATATAAGGCTATCCCCCTTCAGAGGCTCTCTGGTTTCTTTGTAAGACCCTTTGCTTTCTTTGTCAAGAAGCTTTCCCTCCCATCAGCAGGACTCAATCTTCAGGAGTCCTATAGTATAACCACATCCACAAACATTTATATTATACCTGTTGCACCCGTGGTACTGTGCTGGGAGACGGTTATCAAGATGCATAAGAAAGCAACTGCTGACTGCAAGCCTCTCACAATCTAGTGGGGAAGGAAACTTTATGCAACATACCGTAATATAGATTCATAAAATATACCATCATCGCCTTATGTAAAATATGAGAGAGGTACTATGGCAGGGGAAGAGATTGAGGACTTAATGATCTGCAGGTCAAGGGATTTCCTTAAAGGGTGTTAATGTCTGTGCCTTAGGGAGATGAAGAAAAGGAGAAAGCCATGGTGTGTTCAGGAATGGGGGATGACACAGTGTGACTGGAACCCAAGGTGTGTGGAGAACATGGTAGATGATGACTTTGGAAGTATAATTGAGGCCAGGCAGGGAATGGGCTTAAAAACCAGGCTGCAGAGTTTAGACCTCACCTAGTATTTTAAGCATCACAGTAAAATTTTGAAATCGGTTTTTAAAAAATAACCTTGGTACAATGAAGGATAGATTGATGAGAAAGATTCAATTTAGAGAAAAAATATGATAATACAGACTTGGAGGTACCTGACATTTCGTCACTTGATCCATTAATTTTGTAATTAGAGTTATGTCATAGACCTTTTTTACTAATAATGCTGTCTGAAGTTGGGCCTTGAGTGAGGTTTTAAAGGACTGGAAGTGTTTCATAGTAACTGCTATCTGAAACACCTAAGAGTTGTGAAAATTTGTATTTACAGCACAAATCACTCAGTAGTTGTAGTTTTCTTTCTCTAATTCTTTCCAGGTGTTAAAGGGGATAAAGCATTCACAAGCATTAAAACACATTTGTGTGTTTTAATACACATTAATACACATTTCAATGTATATATTTGAAATCATGATAGCATGCCATGTTCGACATGCTATGCTAAGCATACATCTTACATCATTTAACATTTCAGTAAGTGGTATTAGATCTGTTTTATAGATATGCTGAAGCTCAGAAAATTTAACACATTAGGATCACACAGTGAGGAGATTTTGCCCTGTCCATTATAGTCACCTTGAATGTGTCCCTTCAGAAAAAAACTTGTCTTTGCAGTTGCCTCTCCCTGGGACATTACTCTCCAACATAGTTACAAAACTGACGTCTTCGGGTCTTCACTTAAATGTCACCTCCCAAAGAAGTGACAGGGATCCTTCTGTCTAATGTTGTACATTTTTCTGTTTTACTTTCTTCATAGTAAATTGTTATCTGAAATTATGTATTTATTTATTTTCTGTCCAATCTAGAATATAAATTTCATGAGATTAAGTACTTTGTACTTCCAACTTAAAAATCCACAGTAATTTAGAACAGTTTCTGGAGCATTCTGTACACATTCAATAAATATTTATTCTGAATGTGAATCCATGTCTTCAGAACTCAGTCCCATCCTCTCTGGGTGTTATTTTTCCTCTACTAAACACAGTGGAAGGGGCATGGCTGATAATATAATCTGAGGAACTGTGTACCTGGGCCCCAGACTGATTAACTTTTAAAAACTGAATATTTACTTACGAGGAAAAGAAATTCACAGGTCATTCTCTTTCTCATTAGTCAAGATTATTTGATTATATCTAAGCTTGTAGTTACATGTGTAGTTACTGAAGACGTGTGATTAGTTAACATGTAAACATGTTTGGTAGATTACTGTTTAGAATTTGACCTTTTCTTATATGCTCATGTTGGCTGATTTTTATAAGAGAATACTGAGATTTACATAAAATAGACACTGTTTCTGGCTATTTTGATTTTCAAAGCGCTAGACATTTAAAAATGCATGTTGTGTCTGACAAATTAGTGAACTGATATTATCTCCACAAAAAATAACAGTTTTGAGAGGGCAAATCCTTTCTTTCTGTCCTCAAACTACATTTTTCTTTGGTGGTTTTAGATGGGTCTTTATGGAAGCGTGATGTTTCTTTGTCTTGTTGGAATCTGAGGTAACTTACTCTGTCTATAGCATATTAACCACCTCTTTTTCTCTCTGTTTCACGTATCTAGGAATAGCTTGCTGAATAACTCCTAAGTTTAAGAAGGTGGACTGTGAAGTAATTTTAAGTACATTTCTTGGTGTTCTGTGAGGGTCCATGATCTTAGCTCAGTTAATTAGCTTAGTTAAAATTGTATGAAAGCATTCATGTGATTCTAAACCATGGAAGAAGCAAAACGCTTCAAAAACAACCTGCCCCTTACCTTGATCCCCATCTTCTCAAAAACCATGGCGTAATGGAAATGAACAGAATAATGGTTGACGAGCAAAATTTTAAGGCATTCTAAGTATCACTGGTTGGTTTAATAAAATTAATTAGCCTGCCATGGAGAAAATTTACTAGCATGCTGGTTAATTTCACAATGTAAAGTCAGGGAAGGGAGGTAGGGTTGAGGGAACAAACCTTATTAGTTTTGAATAATTATTTAAAGATGTGGACCTGCTTATTTCAAACACTTGGATTGCCAAATCCATTAAGGATTTAAAATCTCAATTTTTGCATCCCAGTATATATGGGAAGTTACCTCTCTAGATGAAATCATAAGCATATTAGTTAACAACTAAATTACTTCATCTTAAATAATACAGAACAAGTAGAATCCTAATAAAACCATGGGAATGAGAACCTACCTGAAGACTGGCTCACGGGAGGTTTCCATAATCTTAATTTGCTATTGATGCAGTTATTGCTTTTTCTTGTCTTTTTAATCCAAACAAGATGTTTGCAGTGGCCGTGGAAAAGTGCCTGAAATCACATGCCTGAATTCATTTAATTTGCCGACACTGTCTTTTTCTCTCCTTTCTGGTAATGGGCAAGAGTCAGTTCTGGTGCATTAGGTACTAAATCTCCTCAACTGCCATCCGGAAAGAAAGATTTAAAATTGCGCTTCAAACCTACAAACTGATTTAGTTTTAAAGCACAAGCACTTCTCCTGTGGAGTCTAAATTAACCTGCAGAAAGGACACAGAACCTGAGAAATTAAACAAGTCAGAGCCAAGGCTCAGGCCAACCATAGGAACCATTTTGGTTTCTTTCATTTGAGACCCGTGGTGCGTAAGGAAGGGGAGCAAAAACAGGCTTAGAGGCACAACTTGTGTAAGAAAGTGCAATACCTTATTAATTGCTTGGGACCTGGATGTGGAGAAAACAGTGGTGCAGGGGACCTAATCAAATTCCTTATCCTCTTTTCTTTTTGGGTGCTCGGCAGCCATTTTCAATGTGGATGACTCCGTGGTTGATCTGGAGACCCTGGCAGCCTTATATGAAAATGTGAGTGTCAAAGACTTACAGAGCTGGCATTTCCATATTTATCTTCCACCTGAGAATGACTGAGCCATTCATGTTCTTTGGTAGTAAGGGTTTTGACATGGCCTGGAAGAGATTAAGGCATAGAAACACAAGCTTGAATGGGAGTGGATGTGAGAAGCATTAAGTTCCTAACTCCCACTGTGGTATCTAGAGTGGTGGATCTCATTGCACACTTGCAAGGCAGGGCATCTCAGGTGGACATCACTTATGTGCCCTGGAACCCAGTCCACTCACTTGCTGGCAGAGTGAATGAAGGTAAGCTGCCTACTGAAATGACAATGTGTACCAGGATCTCCTTCTGAGGAATGGGACTGCTGATACCAGCTTGGATGATTACTCTTAGTCCAAATGAGTTGATGACACTGAATGTGGGAAGGTGTCTAGAATGGTGGGTATGTGTTTTGGATTTATAGTGAGACACTCTTAGGTTTGAGTTCCAGCTGTGTCTACCATTGCCTGCCAAGTGACCTTGGGCCAGTTACTTAAACTCCCTAATTTCATTTGATCATCAGTCCAGTGGGGATTATAGCAGGCTCTATCTGATTTTTTTTAATCAAATGAGCATTTAATATGTGTAGCAGTAGCAACGTATTTTGAAAGTCAACAGGAATATACACATACAAGGCCTTTTGATTTGGGTTTTAAGTCGACATAACCAGCAGAATTATCAGGCTCTCTTAAGAAGATAACACAGCAGAGTCAGAATTCCCATGATTGTTAATTGTTTTGCTTCACTGACTGTTAGGATACAAAAACATAGCTTGAACCACATTCTTTTAAGTAATAGTATTTCCCAGGAAGCTGTCTAGGGCTCTATAGTATGCTGTGGTCACTCAGTTCAAAAGATGATTCATTTCAATATTTTGTCCCCTGGGACCTTACGTCTTTTACAGAAAATTTCCAAAGTCTAATATTCTAGGCCTGGTGGCATCACCAACTCCTTGCTCATTTTCACATCTTTTGTATGTATCAGGAGCTGCTTCATACAAGTGGGTGGGAACCTCTCACATTTCCCTTAGTAAAGCTTTTATTAATAAACCACAAAGTACACAAATAACAGGCCATTGAGAGCCAGTTATTCATTTGAATACTTGGAGGTGAGCAAGGTATAGTGGCAGAAAGAGTTCCAAGTCTGAAGCTCTTTAACAGTTACTTAGTACAAGCCTCAGTGGAATAATCTGTAAATTGAGGATACAGTGGTTCATGTTAAAGGACTTTGTCAAAGGCAGTACCTTCCAGATGCTTTTTGTTGTTACCACGAGCTCAGGACTATGCACACAGTTGCCGCTTGTTAGCTCACAGTAGAGATAAGCTGCATACAACTGAAATAGGTGGATAAATTGAGGAAGTAAGTAACTAAATGACAATATAAGTGGTACAGACAATGAGTGCTTATGAAATTTGAAAAAAGGGATGATGGTAACTACAAATAAAAGAGCTGCAAGCCCATATAATTTAGGGCTGTTCTAGGGGTAAGGAAGCAAATTCTAAGAACAATTTGTCCCCAGCCTCCTTACAGGGGAAGAGACGGGTTTCAAAGGTAGAACTCAAATAGCTATACTTCTGTGTCCAGCTGCATGCACTTGTTAGGACCATTTGCATTGAATCTTAAACTTGAGCATGCATCAAAATCACCTGGTGGGGTTGTGCCCCACCCCAGTTCTTGTGTCTAGGGTGGGCCAGCAATTTTCATTTCTAACAAGTGACAGGTGATGTTGTTGATGCTGCTGGTCTAGGAACCACACTTTGAGACCCACTGCCATTACAAGAGTCTCACTGCCCTTTTTTTTTTGTTTTGTATTCTATTTTGGTACAGAGAGCCCAAGAGGATGAGCTGGTTAAAATAAGAAAGTATTACGAGATATCCAAAGAAGAAGAACTGAAGCTGCTGGATAAACCTGAGCAGTAAGTATACTTAACGCTTTTCTGTTTGGCCAAAAGGAGAACTGCAATTTCTGTCTTGTCTCCCAGCTCAGAATAACAAAATCTAAATTGTGCAGTGAGCTAAATCACAACACCATCATTCCTGTGACCTATTGCAGGCAGCAGGATGACCCTGCTGCCGGGAAAAGCAGCGATGAGATTTGTGCTCCTGGCTACAGCGTGTCTCACCCACTTCCCCCACCCCACGAGACTCCCGTTTCTTGTTCTAGCAACTTGTTAAATCCTCCTAGACTAAACATTTTTACCAAAAGGGTAACTGAGGAAGGAAGAGGCATTGTTCTATTTAAGGTTCTGCTGATGTAGTTGAAAAGATGATATCAGAGTCACAGAATTCAAATTTATTTTCCTAAAGGTCATATCCAGTAAATGCAGCCTGAATGTGCCAGCTTTTCCTCAAACTTCTCCACCTGCTCTGCCCAAGTTACATGTGGCTTTTTCTCACCCTTACTCTGCACATGCTTGTTCTTCTCTCCACTCAATCTCTAGCTGCTTGCTCTGTCATTTGCGATGCCGTTCCATAGGCTTTGAAAACCCAGCACTCCGGGGTGTAACTGAGTGACTCTTGGGGTCTTGAAACCACAGATAAGCTCCTGGGGCTCTGCAGTCCCACGCTCCTGCCTTGGTTTCCAGGGCCTAAGACTCTGTGAGAATGTAAAATGGGTTCAGAGGACACAGGGGCTGCTTCTGTTTGTTGCTACCTTGAATTTTTTTTGTCCAATTCAGGCCAACCCTCTCAACCTAGAGATGAGGCAAGTGTAGCAACCGAAGCAGAAATGGAGTGATCAGATCAGGGTTACAAGTCAGCCCTAGAAGCATCCAAGTTTCTCTGGCTTGCACTGGGGCTTCCATTACTTGTCCTTTGGATCCTCTAGAATAGGGGTTCCCAACCCCTGGGCCACAGACTAGTACCAGTCCTTGGCCTGTTAGGAACCAAGCCACACAGCAGGTGATTAGTGAACAGTGACCGACAAGCAAGCCAGCATTACCACCTGAGCTCTGCCTCCTGTCAGATCAGCAGCAGCATTAGATTCTCATAGGAGCACAAACCCTATTGTGAACTGCACATGAGATGGATCCAGGTTGTGTGCTCATGAGAATCTAATGATGATCTGTCACTGCCTCTCATCACTACTAGATGGGACCATGTAGTTTCAGAAAAACAAGCTCAGGGCTCCCACTAATTCTACATTATGGCGAGTCATATACTTATTTCATTATATATTACAATGTAATAATACAAATAAAGTACACAATAAATGTAATGAGTTTGGTCATCTCAAAACCATCCCATCCCCCAACCCCAACCCCTGGTCTGTGGAAAAATTGTCTTCCTTGAAACCAGTCCCTTGTGCTAAAAAGGTATTCTATAGCAGCTGTGCCCAACCTAAGTCCCCATGGATGCCTGGACATTTAGACTTAGGATAACATCTCTAAATGACTGGGGATGGGAGTCAGGAAGAGAATTCTGGGTTTACTCAGTCACTGACAAACCTACATGATGGTTTTGGGAACCTTGGATGACTTGCTCTCACATGGAGTGTGGTTCAAGATGCTCACCTCAAATTGGTTTCTAAAGCCTAGGGATATTGTGAATCAAGTCAAATGAGTTTCCTCTGCTGTCTTGTTCCACTGACTTGAGACACCTTCCTTACCAGTCCCTATCCTCAACTGATCTATGGTTTATTTCCAAGTCATATTTCCTAATAAAACAAATTAATCCCTCCTAAGATGCTAATGACTCAAAGTAAAGTGACTAATAATGGGATATTTCAACACTGGCAAGGCCATGGGGATGTATTTGGGCACAGCCAGCATATCAAGCAATAGGATAGTGCTGGTTACAGCAAGTTACACAGTAATATTCTCCTCTAAGCCTGGAGTTGGCAAACCTTTCCTGTAAAGGACTAGATAATAAGTATTCTAGGCTTTGTGACTTACAGGATGTTACAGATATTCAAGTCAGCCATTGCAATGCAAAAGCAACCACAAGCAATAAACAAATGGGTATGGCTGTGCCCCAGTGAATTTTACTTATGAACACTGAAATTTGAACTTCATATCATTTTTTACATGTCATAAAGTGTTAGCCTTCTATTGATTGTTTTTTCAACAATAAAAATGTAAACATCATTATTAATTCACGGGCCATACAAAAACAAGTGCTGGCCTGGTTTTGGCCTGTGGGATGCAATTTGCCAACCCCTTAACCACCAAGCAGCCCTTGCTCTAAGCTATGGGAATGGCTGATCTGGTGAAATGAACAGGCAGGGAGAGATCATGGGTTTCTGCAACTGTCCTAATTATTATTCTAATTGCCAGGACTTAGATAATGGTAGCAGGTAATTAACACATAACTTATTCTTGTTTTCTCCACGGATGATCTAGATAGAAAAGCATTTTTAATGTTTATAAATGGTCATTGTAATGGCTTCATGAATATGAAAAGCTGGCAAAAAGGACTGTCATGTTGTGCTGGTGAGGTGACGTGCTTGGGCTCAGTTGCGGAGGGTGAGGCACGGCTAGGTGGGGGCCTTCTGACCTGGGTGTGCAGTTCACCTTTGCCACCGACCTCCTGCACAAACCAGCATTTGTTTGATTTATGCCACTCTGATTCTCTGGCAATAAATCAAACCATTATTTTGCCATTAACTGCAAGTTATTTGCCATTAACTCCAAGTGAGTTGACTATAAGCATGTTTTACATACTGGAAAATATGAATCATTTATAGTTTTAACATTGCAGTTTCCTAAGAGTCCTGTGGTGCCCAGTCCTATAAATCAGAGCATGGAGAGGCTGGTCTCATCACTCACCTCATCAGCTCTCTTGCACCCCAGTGCCAGATTTAGAAAGCCATTCCCCGCAGAGGTGTCGTCTGCTTGGGACCAGGCTGTCTGAGAACCACTCCCTCTAGGGATGACTCTTGACTCTTTTCTTATGCTGTCTGGTAATGGTTGTGAGGTGAGGCTCTACTGGGTTTCATTTGGCCTGGTTCATGCTCCTTATGGCCTAGAGTGAGAACACTATACACAGCCTTTTGTGATGTTTCATGAGGGTCCACAGCTGCTTTGGGACCCCCCCACAGAAGGCTCTGTTAGTGTACTCCTCCATCAAAGAATGCAGGTTACAAGATTCAGTTATGCTGTGTATTGCCCGTGTGCATATACACCTTAAGTAAGACCATTCAGAAATTTACGGATATTAAATCAAATGTCAGTCCCTTAAAAACAATGGGCCACATTACGTCATTCCACCTGTCAGCTGAGTTCCTGCTGTGGATGTGTCACCCAAACAATGTGAGACACAGAACTTCTTTCATATATTAGAAGCTGAAGGTACAGTCCTTCCTGGAAACATTAGCCTGTATTAGAGAAAGAAGGGAAAGATCCTGCATTTGTGGCCTCTTTTGGGAATAGTCTTCTTTTTTTCTTTCTTAATGAACCTAGAATGTAAAGTTAGACTAGTCCAAAAGGAACTCAATCCATAAATATTCATAAGTACCAAGGCCCAGTGTCTAAGATCCCATGCTTGGGAATATTTGAGAGAGTTACTGTTTTTGCTCTTGAGGGTAGAGGATAAAACAGTAATGGAGCAGGGCAGGGGAAGAGAAGATATTTATCAGATGCTTGCTTCACAGCCTTCAAACTAACCTGTATCTCTGGTACCTTAGCAGATAAATAAGAGAGGAGCTGTAGTGCTCTTTGCATGACTGTTTTTGAATGGCAAGGGTCATAAAACCCTATTTTTTTTTCCAAATTTCCTTCTTTATTATTTTGTATTTTCACTTTATGCCACGCATCCAAGCCAAAACTCCAAAGTCATCCTGGACTCTTCACAACATCTCTTAGAGTTAGATTACTTAGGGTCTTGCTGCCTTAGTAGCTTCCTCATCTATTTGCCCGTCACCATTCACACCGCAAGGCCCTCTTACCTTTCCTCTTGGAAGACTACAGCTGTGGTCCAAGAGGTCTCCCAGCCTCAAATTTCCTATCCCATCCAATCAACTGAGATGCTGCCATGGAGATTTTCTAAAACAAAAAGCAGAAACTGTCACTTTCCTGTTTCAAACCCTTCATACATTCAGAAGAAGTTGAAACCCTGCATTTTAGAATACAGAACACTATTTTAGCTTCTGCCTTCTACTCACTTCCACCGCAGATACCCATTCAGCCTATCATGGCTCTCTTGGCAGTTTCTCACATGTTATGCATGAGCATCACATGGCTCTGGGGACCCTAGCTGATACTGTCCCCCTATGACACTTCAGTGTCCTGCATTTGGTTTCCTAGCTCCTCTTCTGGATCCAGTCCATCACCAATAGCACTTATTCACACTCCACAGTAATTGTTGAATTACTTCTCAGATTATCAAGAAGGGATTTTAAGTTAAGCTCTGTTCCCAGGCCCTAGCATGGTCCCTGACACATTGTACATGCCTTATACATTCCTGAAGGAGACTGACATTCTTGGTTACTGATCTTCTCTATTAGTTTTCAGTTCTTTCCAAAAATAACATAAAATTCTGATCTTTTCTCCCTGCTGCAACTCTGTGTATGGGTTCCAGGCCCTTCTGCATAAAGAGGACATTGGAACATTGAGATGCTCTAAGACTTTTTCCAGTGCAAGCCCTAACCCCCGTAAGGCCTTTAATCCTAGAGAGCCTTGCAATTTCGATCTTACCCTTTATTGCATAAGATAGATTTATAAGACTATGGTCTTCTCTCCTCATATTGGTCCTACACTTCCTCTTTTAAGATTATTTATGAGTAACTTTTCATCCAGCATTTCCTGCTTTTCATCTAAGTCCTTTTAGGTGAGCTGAGGCACTGATCTGTATATTTTCTCATGTGGTATCTCTAACTGCTTTGCTCACTGTGTTTATTTTAAGTGGGAAGTGTACATGAGATGTCCTGAATAACGTCTTATGGTCACATTTGGAAGGGGAGAAATGCAAGGTCCTTCTTTCAAAATAGTTCAGCATCTGAATAAATACGTCTTACCAAGACTCATTACAAGATCAGATGCTATCACTCCTGTGAGCTTTTTATTTCTTATGTATTTGTAAAAATTGATTACAAATACATAAGAAATAGCCTGTATTAGAGAAATACCCCTGATTTCAGTCATCAGTGAACAAATTGTTTAATATTACATTCATAAAGAAGTAATTTACACATTCCTATGAGTTTCTGCTTTTATACTACATCATATAATTTTCGTAATAATGGGTTATTGAACTTTAAAACAAGACTGTATTTTCTTTTATGGATATTCCTTTAATGGAATGTCATCTCAAAAAAATGATTGTGGATTATGACATAGTTGTGGAATAAATACAAAATCAATTGATAGAAAGTTATTAAAACCCAAATCTCCCTAAAAGTAGAGGAGGCACAGAGAATATAAGCCAAGAAAATATCTTCAGGTATAAAAAGAAGTAGCCTTCAGCTTTGTTCCTATGTAAAACCATTTATGGTGAGAGATGGCAAAAATTCCATGGTAATGAAATTATGAGTTGACCAAGACTTTCAGAAATATCAGTTAATCATCATCTCAACTCCTGAATGAAATAACTGGCTCTCAGTGGATTCTTTCCTTTTCTGAATTCATGTCCAACTGTTTCCACCCATTTTCGTTTATACCCCTTCCTCTGGTGGTTGGCCTGGAGAATATGTAGCTCTTCCAACTCAGTTTTGCAAAGGGAACCAGTGCCCAACTGCTCACACAGTGAGCTACTGTGTGTAGGTCAGTACTCACCTTTAGCTTTTAAGATCTGTCTTGCCATATTTTTAAGGAAACTTTAGGTAGTCTACTTAATGAGTGCCTGCTTTGTTCTAAATACTGAGCTGTAAACTATGTCTATATGTGTTAATGTGAAAAAGTAAACAAATATCTGGAGAATGTGATCATTATAGATGATTATGTAACTCATTGAGCAAAAATAGTAGCAATATCACTTCAGTAAGGAATTTTTTTTTTAAATCACTTGTCTGTAGACATTTGCCTCAAGTCTTCAGTTTGCTTAGCCTGTGTAAATACACCTTTAGAGAATGCTCCATTATGAGGGAGTTTATTGTATAATTTTTCTCATATGTTAAAGACTAGGGCTTTCCATTTGACTTCAGTCTCTTGTTTGGGTAGCAGGAGATAGATAACTTGTTCAGTGTACTTGCATTAACTTTCTGTTCCCAAAGGAATTTATACACCACGCATTTATTCATCATGATAGAACCCCTTTAAAAAATGCCCCTGTTGTCAGCAATGGAACCCATGCCCTTGGAATTCCTTGAGTCTACCAATCCGACATCTTTTATAGTTGTTGAGATTGTCAAATAAAGAATGTTCTCAAAGTGGATCTTTTTCAGCTGTCTTTTTATTTTTCCTGTGACTGTATGTGATGCTAAATGATTTTTTTTTTTTTTTTTTTTTTTTTTTTTTTTTTTTTTTTTTTTTTTTTTTTTTTTTTTTTTTTTTTTTTACAGATTTTTACATGAGTTAGCCCAGATTCCTAATTTTGCTGAACGTGCCCAGTGCATAATCTTCAGATCTATCTTTGCTGAGGGTATCACCTCCTTGCACAGAAAGGTAGAGATCATCACGCGAGCTTCTAAGGTATGTTTGCTGTCTAATTTAAAAGATAGCCTTGTTCTGATTGAGAGTAAAGGAGAAAGTGGGAAAGACCACTGTAGTGCCATTATAGAAACCTTTTTGGACACAAATTTTATGTTTTTCTAAGTGTAAATTTGATGATTATCCTGCCTGAGAGAGAGAGAGAGAGAGAGAAAAGGAGATGTAGACAGAAGAGGGAGAAGGCGGGAAAAAAATGACACTTTGACAAATTGCTTCTAAAAAACTCTGAATATCTTCCAAAGTACATACTGGCTACTAAAAACCAATCTAAATAGCATGACCTGTTTCCTATTTTACAATTTGAATTGCAGAAGAGATTTTGCTTTGGATCCATGTATTTGATCATTTGAAATCTGTCAACCTAATAAAGTAAAAGGATTCCAGAGACTTGATAAGTGAAATGACTGACAATGAGTCACTGGCAAATAAAATCTAGTTCGTTTTACTACACTGGTGTTCATTATAAGGTTAAATTCTAGCACCTGGCTTTTTCTCACAGTTGACCCATGCTCTTAAGGACACGTTATTCTTCTCCACAAATACTGTAGTACTTTGTTCCTTATCTGGAGGCATGATATTTTTTTCTCTAAGATATGAAATATTTCAACAGAGAAAAAATAAATATTACCAAAGTATAATTATACACTCACTAATGATATCTGAAAGGCAGGAGCAGATAAAGAAGTCTGACTGGAGCTTAATTTTTCTTTCTTTTTTTACTCTGAAATAAAGGATGGGGACAGAAGGTCAATTAAGACTATAAAGAAAAATGTTTAAACTGGAAAATTTGTACTTGAAGTAAAAAATAGTTGAAAGGAAAAACAAATGAGACAGGGAGCCAAAGAAAATCCTAAGCAGCTTGAAATTGTAAAAGTTAATAGAAATACAAGGACTTAATAAATGTAAGTTTAATAAATTTATTAAAGATGGCCTACGGCCTTAAAATGCATTATTATAGTTTACCTCTGAAAATTATATCTGAGGATAAAGAACATACTTTTTCTGTGTCTGCTCTGCATTTAACTGTATTGGCTATGTAGATAAATAGGACTGAAATACATCCTCATAAAGGTAACCCCTTTTCTACCTAGAAGTCATCCAAGGTTAAGCCTTACTATACCAACTCGCTTTTTACAATGTCTACTTTAAAATAAATATTAAAAATTAAACTGACTCAAATGAAAATATAGAACTAATAATTAATCCTCATGTATTAAAACATGCACTGTTTATAATTAACTTGTCGAGTGGGTAGAAAATAATGGGTATTAATGTGTTTGTAAAGACACTTATGGCTTAGTCAAGTGTGTTTTTTATTTCACCAACTGTTAATCCTTTTGGTAGCAAGCCACCCGACAGCCGATTGAGTACTCAGTAAATATTTGTTATTGAATGAACATGGGTGCATTTGGAGTTCAGCTCCATAATGATTGGTGTTTGCCATCACAGGGCTTGCTGCACATGAAGAGTGTGAAGGATATTTTAGCTCTTATTCTGGCTTTTGGAAATTATATGAACGGAGGAAATAGGACTCGGGGACAAGCCGATGGATATAGCTTAGAAATTCTGCCCAAACTCAAGGATGTCAAAAGTCGGGTATTTATTTTTTATAAGTTTCTATCATCTGCCATTATTTTCTTTCTTTATCTTTAATTTAAAAAAAAAGTATTCCACATTGTTCTGTGTATCTCTGTCCTCCCCCAACAACAATCATTTATATTAGAGCATGCATTTTTTTTCTTGCTTTCTTTTGACTTTTGAATAAAGAGGTTTTGTTTTGTTTTTTCATGTTAGACCTTATTTTCAGTGATCTAATTCCCATTATGTGTATGTGTTCTCTGACATACACAATTAGGTATTGAACTGCTGCTTAATGAGAGAACAAAACAGATAGCATACAGTACCAGCGTCCTGCAAAGGCTGGAGGCTGAGTTTAGTGTTAGCTACTAGTACTTTACTGATTCCTGAGTGGCAAAGCAATGTCGAATCGCCAATTATTCTTTTGCCACAACAATTGGGCTGGGGTCTACTGTCAAACTCTGTGAGCCTGATGATCACTTGGCTCCACACCCCTGCCGAGCTACCTCTTTAGAAACAACCAGCCCATATCTAGGCATCCCATGGCGGGCAGGGGGGCACAGGGAGGGGAAACACACAGGCAAATTAGAATTAGACTCCAGTGAACAAGACACAAAGGCTGCCTTGTGGGAGGGCCTGCTCCCCCCTGGCCCCCCCGGGTCATAAAGTGGCGTGGTGCTCCTTTTAAGCTGGCCTGGATTGTTTTTCACACCATTAAGAACACACATTTTTTGAAAGGTGGGAAGGGAGGGGTGCTTTTCTGTTCTAGGCCCTGGTTCCCTTTAGCTCTCCCTGCCCCCTCCTGTCTTGGCTTTATGCCAGAAAATACAAGGAGACAATTTTTTGTTTGTTTTAGCCATTATTTCAGAAGTTTTATGGATTTTCTGTTTGTTTTTCCCCACAAAGGATAGTACAGTGTAATTTCTTTGCATAGCTGGTATAGTAAATGGATAGGATGAAGCAGAGGAAGGAAAACCTTGCTACCATGGAAGAGAATTAAAGCCAGTTTTTGCAAATTAGAAGTTTCTCAACCTGAGATTTCATCTCTCAACCATGTAACATGGCAGTCTCATGGGAATTATTTTTATGTAAATTTCTCTTTTAAATTTAGGATAATGGGATTAATCTGGTGGACTACGTTGTGAAGTATTACCTGCGTTACTATGATCAGGTAAGAAATGGCATTATGTGGAAAACTTTCAACTGTTACTCATTGTTGGCATTCGTAAGTTGGATGACGGTGGATAGATAGATGGATGAATTGGAAGCCCAACATAGAATGTGGGAGCTCTCTAGCTCCTTGGTTTGCAGATGAGCACACTGAAACCAAGATAATTTAACTGAGTTACGAATAGAAGCATTATTCACTGGTATAAATCTTCTGAGTCTCATTAGACTGTATGGTAGCTTCAGAGAGACCCTAGTTGCCTTAGTGCTTTATGGCCACAGGGTGAGGTTCTCTGTGAAATCTAGATCCATTTAGTAATTGGCTGTAGTTCAAACTGTATTCTGATGATGGAGAGCAAAATTTAGGAAAGTAAGACTCAGTAATACCCAATATTTTATCAGTAATGAACCTGTGAACAGGCTGAAGATGTGGAATTTGAAAAATCCATCTTTTTTGCTTAGAGGGCATTTGCAATAGAAATAAGCATTTCTGTGTGAATCCACCTGAGCAGAATTTTCTGTTTTATTCCTTCTTGTTAAATTAAGAAAAAGGAGTTGTAATTTTGAGAAGAAAGAGGTATTGTTGTAAGATGTTGAGAAATATAGCTATCAATATGAATAATAAAAGTCTCAAAGTAAATGTTGTCAGGACTTCTGCCTATCTGTCCCTGTAAGCAGAATTGTTCCTAGGCATCAGGGGAAGAATAGTAACCATCCCAGGGCCTTGTTTTCAGTAGGCCTGCAATTTCATCCAGAAAACAAGTGAGGCACTGATGAACTTCTTAATACTTTCTTCTACTCTCCTGGTGGGCTTATCTAACTATTCTCAGTCTAGCTAGCTAGGTTCATCATTTCCTTCCTCCTCAAACTTCTCCCCGATTTCTATTAAGAATATCATAGTTTTTGATAGTTTTGGGTCATTCAGGCATGAAACCTTGTCCTCCCCTGGCTCTTCTCTGTCCTTCCACTGAGTTGTTTCTTATGTCTTCCCTGTTTTGCTTTGTTTTCCTGCTGACCCCAGCTTACCCAGGTTTTAAGATGGCTCACCTGGAGAATTTCAGTTGCTTTCCAGCTCAGCTCTTTATCTCTAGGTTCTATACCTCTAAGCCACCCCACACCCTCTTGACACAGCTCTGATCATATTGCTTTTCTACTTAAAACAGAAGTGGCTCCCCGTTTTCAAGTGAATTAGGACTCTACCAATTTAATTCCAATCTTTTACAACCTCACTTTTATTACTTTCCCACAACACATACTCTGTGATCCAACTCAAGACCTGATGTTTTCCAAACACACCCTGTGCTTTTTTTTTACTTCTGATGTTCTCCCTAACTGAAAGTATCTTTGTCTCTAGCCTTTTTATAAAACTTCACTTTTTCTCATTATTCTTCTCTAGAAATAATAAATTTAAAGATCTTTTGGGAAAAATCTCCCAATAACATTACCAATATATGTGTTACAGACTTAACTAGAAAAGTACAGACCTTTGTGAATAAATTTACATACTTGTACTGAAAGTCATAAGAATTTAAAAACAAAGTTTAAAAAAAAAAAAAAAAACACCTACTTTTAAAAATGGGTAATGGGCTTGAATGGACATTTCTCCAAATAAGACAAACAAATAGCCAATAGGTACCAACATCACTAATCCAGGGAAATGCAAATCAAAACTACTGTAAGATATCCTCTCATGCCTATTAGGATGGCTGTTAATAAAAACCAAAACCAAAACCCTCCCACATAGAAAATTGCAAGTGTTAACAAGGGTGTAGAAAAATTGGAACCTGTTAGCACTATTGGTGGGAATATAAAATGGTGGAGCCGCTATGGAAAACAGTAGGGAGTTTCCTCAAAAAATTAAAAATAGAACTATATGATCAAATAATCTCACTTCTGGGTATTTATCCGAAAGAATTGAAACCAGGATCTCAAAGAGACATTTTTCCTCTCATATTCATTGAAACATTGTTCACAATAGCTGAGATTTAGAAACACTCTAAATGTCTGTCAATAGATGAACAGGTAAAGAAAATGCGTATATGTACTGAGCCATAAAGAAGAAATACTGTCATATGCTGCAACATGGATCAGCCTTGAAGACATAATGCTAAGTGAAAATAAACCAGTCGTAGAAGGGCAAATACTGCATGATTCCACTTATATAAGTATCTAAAGTAGTCAAACTGAAGGAACAGAAAGAAGAATGAGTGATGGAGGAATGCGGAAATGGAGAATTGAGGATATGGAGTTTCAGTCATGTAAGATGGAAAAGTTCTAGAGATCTGTACAAAAATGTGCTTATAGCTAACAATACTATACTGTACACTTAAAAATTTAGGAGAGTAGATATCATGTTATGTGGGTTTTTTTTATTTTTTATTTATTTTTTTTTACCACAATATGGAGTGGCATCATGCTCTCTGTTGGAAGAATCAGTCAGAATTCTAATCAATCTTGGAAATTGACAAAATAATTTTAAATATTATATGTAAAAAATTAGACAAAATTTGATCAGGATTTAAACATGAAGAGAGAATCATTCATTTATATATGCTAATGTATTGTAGAGCTGTAATAATGATAAGTGTGGAATGATAGAATAACATCAAAAAACTTAAGAACGTAGAAAGGAAATCTCAGAAATGGATGTAAATAAATATGTGTTAAGTATGTAATAATGGAAAAATTTCAAGTAATTGGGAAGAGGAAGAAGTTGAATTATCTCCTAGACCTTGTACCAGAGACCAGAGCAAATCTTTAAAGAACAAAAGAGTTAAATGTAGAAATAAATGAAAATAAAATCATAAAAGACATGACAAAAGTATAGGTAAATAGTTTTCTGATTTTGAAGTAGCAAAGTTCTTTCAAAATGTTCAGACTAGGCAGAAACCATAAAAGATTAGAATGATAACTTTCAATGCATAAAACTAAAAAACTTTAATTCCTAATTAAAATTAAACACATTAGTATCTCAAAAATGACTTAAAACCAAATTCAAAAAAACATACTGGGAAAATGTTTACAACACAATAGACCATGAACTCTTGAGAATTAACAAGAAAAAAACGTTCTTCCTTATTTTTTAAAAATGGCAAAATATATCACAGGCAATTTATAAAAGGCATATAGAAGACATAAATTGTCAACTAGATATGTAGAATTAATACTGTAAATTGATCAAACCTTTCTCAGGACTGTCATGTATGGTAAATCAGGTTATTCTCTGTTTAAGGTATCTAGGTCAAATGGGACTCATACCTAGCCTGCCCTTGACTCACCAAATTATATATGCTATAAGGGGCACACTTTAAAATTAAATTCACATAAAGATGCCATGTTCTTGTCAAGCTGTTTGTCCATAAAGCTGTTCCTATCTACAGGGGATGCATTTTCCTAACCTATACATGCTTTAAGGGAAAGCAAGGTGGTTGTTTTTTCCTCCTTTTGTTTCCCTCTTTACCCCAATTTTTTCATTTTCTCCTTTCATTCTTTTTTCTTCCTATCAGACAGGTAATGTGCCCACATCATAACAAGGTTCAATGGTGGCACATTTTACACATGCACATGAACACCCAATCTATCATGCTCATGAACTGCAAAAGGATCAAAAGCAAGGTTTTTGACCTTTCTGTATCTGAAGCCCTAGAAATATGTGTAAGCTTTTAATAAATTTCTACCCTAAGAAAATAACTACATATTTAATTACTGTTTACTTATAATAGTTTATAATAGCAAAATATTAGAAAAATTTTGGAAGGTGTCCAATTATAGAGACCAAGGTCAAATAAATTATACTAGAGTCACACACTGGAATAATATAATGCCATTGAGAGTGCATAGGAGAGAATATAGTAGTACTACAAAATATTTTTGATTTGCTTTTAATTTACAAGCTTGTGTTTCAAAATAACATGTAATACCAAATATGTAATAGATAAATATAAGTACACACAAACATACAGAAAAACCTGAAAAAAATGTATTAAAATTTTTCTTTCTGGATGTTAGGATTGTAAGAGTTTTTTTACTGTCTTCTATCTTTCCAATACTAAACATAATGAACTTGTAAAAGTGAAAAAAGATGTAGTCAAAAATAACTTAGTCTAATCTTACATGGCCCTTCTATGAGGTCATTGCTAACATCCTGATCTTTGGAGGAAGGCTTTAAAGCCCTCACCTTTGAAGCCTGGAAGTATTTTATTTGAATCTCTCTCAAAATACATCTTATTCTGCCTTGTATGTATTATGTGGAATTACCTTGGCATTGGTTCTTAAGGTTCAGAATGCATCGTTGTCTGTCTCACTCTCTTTATTTATTTATTTATTTTTTAAATTGACATAGAATCTTGCTCTATTGCCAGGCTGGAGTGCAGTGGTGCAATCTTGGTTCACCGCAACCTCCACCGCCTGGTTTCAAGTGATTCTCTTGCCTCAGGCTCCTGAATAGCTAGGACTACAGGCATGCACCACTATGCCTGGCTAATTTTTTTTTTAATTTTATTTTTTTTATTTTTATTTTTATTATTATTTTTTTTTTTTGAGACGGAGTTTCGCTCTTGTTGCCCAGGCTGGAGTGCAATGGCGCGATCTCGGCTCACCGCAACCTCCGCCTCCTGGGTTCAGGCAATTCTCCTGCCTCAGCCTCCTGAGTAGCTGGGATTACAGGCATGCGCCACCATGCCCAGCTGATTTTTTGTATTTTTAGTAGAGACGGGGTTTCACCATGTTGACAAGGATGGTCTTGAACTCCTGTCCTCAAGTGATCCACGCACCTTGGCCTCCCAAAGTGCTGGTATTGCAGGCATGAGCCACCACTCCTGGCCATCGTCTCTTTTTATTGTCTACAATACAGATGTCTGATAAAACTTGCTGAACTGGATGTAATGTTAATATTCACAAATGTGTACTAAGTGGCATCTGCAAAGAACTAGATATGAGGAGATGAGAGCTGTTTTCTGGTAGAATGGGGAAGGTGTGTTTAGCTTCAGGAAATTAAGGAGCAGT